TACTTAGTTTTGTGTATACCTAATGATTTATGTTAAATTTTCTTATCTAAATTATATAAAAGATACTAATCTGCAATGACAATAATATTCATGGTGTTTTATATCTTTAAAGTTGATGTTTCTTTTTAAAAATATTTATTTATTATTTTTAGTTTATGTGTTTGAGTGTATTGCCCGCATGTGTTGTAAGTGCACCCACAGAGGAAAGAAAAGGGTGTCTGATCTCCTGGAACTGGAGTTACAGACAGTTGTTAACCACTGTGTGGGTGTTGGGGTTTGAACCCAGTGTTCCTCAAGAGCAGACAGTTCTTTTAACTGTTGACCTATCTCTCCAGGCCAAGTTGTTTCTTGATTATTTTGGGTATCCTATGCTACAGTTAGCCAGGATGAAATAATTAATTAGTATTCATATTTTTCTAGCAAAACATGAATGAGTAACACTACAGAGTGACTCCTATTGGAGTCCCATTTACCTTTCTCATTGTAAAATAAAAAATAAGACTTAATTATGCCCACAATAACTGCAAAATCCTGATTTCTGACAAGTCTACTCCCATGTTTTTCTAATACCAAAAATATTTGTTATATGAGAAAATATGTTTTTTTGAGTTGGGGTCCCACCATAGTCTTGGCTGGCCTAGATCTTATCATGTAATCCAGGCTGGTCTTAAATTCACCTGACTTTGCCTCCTGAGTTCTGGAATTAAAGGTGTGTATCACCATGAGTTATGGGAAAAGGAAATTGGGTAAAAGTAAATTTAAAGTAATAGTGTATTTTTATATAATTTATTCCATATTGCAACTTTTCATTTATCCTCTAAAGTATAGTACAATAAAACAGATCAAATGATTATGTGTAAATAAGAGTTATAATGATTTAGATATTATAGACCAATAATTCTTAGAATTAGAACTAGCCACTCCACATGTGATTTTAGCGAGGAAATCAAACTGGTCAAATTAAAAAATAAAAATACAGTTAAATTATTTTAAATAGTCTAAACATCAATTAAATTTTTCACAGAGTACAAAAAATTAGTCTGTGAAATACAGGAATAAACTTATAGTCAGTTTTGTTCTAAATATCATTAGTTGTTAGTTAAAATACCTGTTGTTTTACTGGCTACCCTTACTTCTTCAGGTTATATTGTATTCTTGTTTAATTTTAGGTTCAATATTGTTATTATATGTAACTTGTAAATATTATGACAACTATAGAGGATGATAAAAAGAAGTGTCAAACCCAGATTTACTGGCTAGTATATTTGATGGACAGACGCAAGGATTTCTTCCATAATAGTTTTGCCAACAATTTGTTTCTTATGATTGCTTTCCTGCCTACTTATCCTTATCTATACCAGGTCCTAGGGGTGAATCCTCTTTGCAACATAGAATATGAAACAATATTTAGCCTCCACATATACAAAATGTGATGCTTGGCATAGGGAGAAACTGTTTACTGAAGTTCCCAGGAACAAA